CGCACGCACGCACAGAGACACACACACACACACACACACACACACACACACACACACACACACCCACACCCCTCCATTTGTTTCACCTCAGCAGTCTGAGCTGGACCCGCTACCATCAGAGGTTTGTCCTGTGGGCTCTTTAAAGGGAAAATCCACCTTAAAAGAAACTGTAACACTGTTAGGGCTGTGTACCATTTTACAGTGGAGACAATACCAGTTAGTTCATATTAAGAGCTTTGTTGTAGCATAAAAACTACAAAAATGTGTTATTATTTAACAACACAGTAGTGGTGGTAAGTGGTTTCGGTCACGGCATCAGTTCAAAAGTCACAGCATTGAGACTGTGAGATTGTGCTTAAAAGCAAACCTTGTCTTTTCAAAGTACTCCTTCCAAAGACACTAATGAACTGTCACACTTAAAGGACCAGTGTGTAGGATTTAGTGGCATCTAAAAATGTGCAAAAAATACGAAAGGTGGCAGTTTAACATGGTGGACTAAATGGAAGGCGACCTGTGGAATCTGTAGATTATTAAAGGCTCACTCTAAGGTAATGAAAATACAACAATTCCTATATTCAGGTTATTATACATTAATGAAAATATACCTATGAATATTATGTTATATTTATGACAGTAGATCCTCCTAAATGTTACACACTGGACCTTTAAAACACTTAAAATAATCCAAACATACGGTGGTAACTGTCAGTACTTAAGCTTTTACTAATTATTGCCACAGACGCAGTTCAGTCTGAGCTCCATACTCCGCTTTTATTCCAACACAGCACCCTTTGGTTCCGGGTTTTTCAGTATGTCTGCAATGATGTGGTGAAATAATTGGAAATATTTTGTAGATCTAAACATAAATGGTAAACATTTGGTTTTGGTCTCAGTTCCTCGGCATCAAACACTGATTCCAGAACTTTTCACCGCTGATCCAGCTGACAGAGATTGAGGACAGTCTTTAATGGAAGATGGCGGCTTTTTCCTTTTAAGAGCTTTGGTAATAATTCAGGTTATTATTGATGCAGAGGCCAGCTCTGTCATTTTAAACCAACCCTCTGTATCAGCAGATCCTCTGCAACACCTTTTCTGCATGGCACAAGGTGGAGAATGCTCATTTATTATAAATCACATCAACTGTACATCACTGCTGACTGTTTTCCAAAGCATGCTGTGCATCTCTAAGCTTTCAGGCAGCCGTTGGTTTCAGTTTATTTCACAAAATCAACTTAAGACAGCTGAAACTTGCTTGAGGCAACTAATCCGCCACAGCAAACATCATGTCTGTTGTCAGTGTTGCTTGTGGTAATACAGTGCACACTGATAAAACCATCTGCACAAGAACCCAACTCATATATCTGCATGGTCGATACTATTGGCCAGTCTTGGCTCATCACAGATGTGTCAGTATCTGTGTGTATGTTAGCAGAGAAATGTCAAAGATGTGTAACCACTGACTATTTTTACTGTAAAATGTTCCAGTCACTAATCATTTCAGGCAGTATTGGTCTCACGAATCCAGTGTATCGGTTAGGGTTTAAAGCTGCAGTAGATAACTTTTATAAAAATGACTTTTTGTTGTATTTGCTTAAGTTTTGACAGTAGGACCTGAGACAGATAATGTATGAAAACATCAGATTCCTCTGGCACCTCAGGAACCAGATTTTTTCAAAATTATCTGTTGGGATATAGTGAATAAAAATGAAATAAAAATGATCTACTGCAGCTTTAATCTGCGTTAGCCTTCGACAATAAAAGCAGTAATGTTGGTCATTGTGATGGATTACAGGTTGATTTGGATGTTTATACTGAAATGAATGGGAACCAATGGCTTCCTGGAGAGTAGAAAGACACACTGACTAAAACACTATATTTTCTCACACTTGTGGAAATGGTCATATGGTTTGTAGTAAATGGGTTTAAACATACAGCCACTGTGGTCTGGGCCCGTACAGCAGCCGTGTAGACTTGTTGCTTGGGTTGTTTGGTTGACTTCACTGATCCACTCGCAGCCCAGTCCACAGCTCAGCAGGGTTAGTCCGTAACGCTTCTATTCTGCCTTAACATCTATGCATGGCAAGAGTTGAGTATTGTTGTACAACTCTGACTTTTTTTATCTGAGCAGCGTCTCCAACATGTCTGTCGCTCTGTATGTTTCTTACCATTTTACGTGTTCGTGTTACCTTATGGATACATTTGTGAATCAGTTCACTGCTGATTTTTTTCTTGTATTGTAGTTGTCTGAGGGGATGTCATTTTCTTCTGTCCATGCAGCTCATTCAGTAAACAGGTGAACACCAGATAAATTTCATGAAAAGGGACGTTTTCATTAGAGACAGCCTCAGAAACAGTATTTTGTAATTCAGCCTCAAAGAATGACTTAAAGGGAAGACAAACCATGAAATCATTTTTCCACTGCTGGAAAGTCAGAACATTGTTTTGGTTTAAGAAAGTTGGATGATTCACCCCCCCTGGTTAGTTTGCTTGAAACAAACCGGTTCATACAATGCAATGTCTAAACATTTCTGAAGGCAAAAATCTTAATACTCATTCCGAAGGGTCACAAATTCTGCTCATCACAGAGAGCTGATGACTCTTACAAATGAGCATAGCAGGCCTCACTTTCTTAACAGTCTCTCCTTGAACGTGTTTGTAATGTTGGACACATAAAACTGACAGAAGCTCCACACACACCAGGCATGGGTTGCACCAACTGGTCTTTGGTAAGCTTGGTCCTAACCGCTAAGTCATTCTTCGTTAGGACCAGTCTGTAGAATGAACTTAAGCCTAGTCTGGACTACTTTCGGTCTTAGTGAAGTGAACTGGGCAGATCAGTGCAGCATACAGTTATTTCTTACTGAGTGACCTTCATTTCTTAGTCTCACCTGCATTGCTTTAATTTTCCCAAATTTTTGTGGCGAGAGGGTATGTGTATGTGTGACTATAGAGGCTGTATATATCTGTAGCAATCAATCTTAAGCCCAGATGGTGACAGGCATTACCATTAGGTTGGATTTAGACCTCCAAGTTATGATGACTTAAGAGCATTTAAGCTTAAGAGCAGGTGTAAGCCCTGTTGGTGTAACCCTGGACAATCGCTGCATAAAGTGCGTGTGATGGCTTCAGAAAGTTGCAAAAATGTTTCGGAAAGGTGTTTTCAGACTGTTAGATAGTCCAACAAGTTTTTCCAACTTGGTTTAAAGCAGACTGGGGCCTTCAGTCACCAATGTTATTGAGCAAATAAATGAAACGTGTTAAAATCCTCTTTGATGTCAGGTTTTACAGACCGTGGTTTGATTTGAAGGACCACACTGAAGTGTAATTTAATGGAACATCTGCCCTCCTTCCCATGTAAATAGGTCTAACCCTAGTTTTGAGTCAAGCATGGAGTTGAATCACAATTAAGTTGTTAAAGTCACATTTTCTAATACAGTGATGGATTAGTACAGAGTGGCCATGAAGGTCCGGTTGGAAGGATTTTTGGGTCTGGGCCAATGAGGCTATAAAGATACATGTTTATTCAGATTTCTGTGTCAGATT